CGGGTGTGGGGCAGGGCTGCGGAGGACCCCACCCCACCCCACCCCACCCCACCCCACCCCACCCCACCCCACCCCACCCCACCCCACCCCACCCCACCCCACCCCACCCCACCCCACCCCACCCCACCCCACCCCACCCCACCCCACCCCACCCCACCCCACCCCATCCCATCCCATCCCATCCCATCCCATCCCATCCCATCCCATCCCATCCCTTCGCAGGCCGCTCTCGGGGAGCTCTCCGTGGGCCGGGCACTCTGTGGACACAGATCGATGAGCTCACCGCCTGGATCGAGCAGGCGAGACGAAGAGCCGAAACGGGGAACGCCGGCCGAAACGGAGCTTAGAGGAGCCTTTCTTGCCTTCCATTTGGTTAAGAATAGTTTTTTTCCTTTGCTATTTGTTGGTTTTAAAGGGAATCGAGCTCACTACTGTTTTTTCCAGGGGACTTAAGCAAATGGAGGTTGCTGGTGCTCAGGGAAGAACCTTTCGGGTGTTGGGGAAGAACCCAGGGGGTCTCCAAGGAAACCCCGCATTCCCTGAGCACCGGCAAGCTTTGGATTCCTTATCTCCAGTGGCGCCAATGACAGTTGCCCCTTTTGCTTTGATGAGATGGCTTCCCCAGAATTGGCAACCTCAAATAGGGTTTCCGACCAGAGTCATTGAACAACGAAGGTGTGAGTGTCCAAAATCGCTTCGAATTTTGGGCTAGGTGAAGTATGGACCATCATCTTAACATCCTTTGTCTTGTTTGGAACCCCCCAAAGGAATCTTCTTCTTCTTTTTGCGGGACCCTTTGGGGTCGCATGTCAATGTACAAGGCAGTGCTTAAAGCAAGTGGTTGGGACCCACCCCCCAAAGCCATGCGAGCGTCGGGGGGGAAGGTTTGCCGCTCGCAAGAGCCTCGAAACCCGAAGCCGCGGCGAAGGACTTCGGGGACTCGCAGCCTCGATTCTCATCCATTTGGTTAAGAATATGTTTCATTCTCCCATGTTGGTCTTAAAGGGAATCTATCACTACTGAAAATATTTGTATTTTTTCCAGGGGACTTAAGCAACTGGAGGGATTGCTATTGGGTAACGGATCTTTAGACCTTAGAACTTTTCAGTTGAAATCGAGCGGGGAAAAAAAAAACCCATTGAACCCACAAGACCGGGTTCGCTCGCTTTTTTGCGGGGGTCGCTTCGGCCACCAAGCCGCCGTAGCTCGATGGATGCTTTCGGCCCATCTCTTTGGCCTGAAGCCTGCGGAAGGCTCGTAGGCGCGGTCGGAGAGAGCCTCTTACTTGGGCTGGGGGTTGGATCCTTCAATAGGACTTAAGTGTGAACAACATCTTTACCCAAAAGGCTAGCTCAAACCGAAAGAATAAGACCGGCACCCGTCCGATAAGAACACACACACACACACGATTGGAGTACACTCAGCCTCAGGTTGTTTGGGCTTGATACTTTTGGGTTTGGACCATTCTGGTGGCGACTCCACGTCTCAGCGACTCGTTTTTGGCCGATCCCGAGACAGCCCAAAGCTGGCGCCTTGGCAAGGCGCAGGGCCAGCAGATCCTGGCGCTCTCGCGGGTTTGGGCGCCCAGTGGTCCTGGTGGACAAGCGTTTTTTTTCCTCCGGAACTCGACCTTTTGACTCCTTTGCTTTGGGGCCTTTTTTGGGTTTCTACTTTGTACCTTTTTTTTTTCTTCTTCTTTTTTTGCGTGTGTTTTTCTAAATATTTGTCCGTCCACTCTCAGTCATGGCCCTCGAAGGTCAACCACGTTTAATCATGGATTGAAAAGCTTAGCCTTGTATTTCCAGGTCCTTTGAGCAACTGAGAACAGCGTCCAGCGATGCCTTCATACGTTAGCTTGAGAGGGAAGCACGCCGCCCACTCGTTCGAACGAACGCGCCAGCTGTGAATAGCGAGTCATGCAGAACCTTTGATGCACGTGCCATTTGGGCCATTTTGGCGAACATGATCTTTTCTTCGCCATCCTCCCTTCCCGGATGGTACCCTTCTTCACTGCACGCCTCGCGCCTGGAAGAATATCATTCAATGGACTGTCAAGTCAAGTCCCTGGGAGTGGTGGAGCAGGATTAGGTCCACTCCAGAGATGCTTGGATTCGTCTCACGTTGTTTTGGCCCTGTTGAAACAGCCCAGCGGACACATGTGACGCAAGACAAGCTTCAGCCGAGACAGTTGCAGGAGTTGGGCAAGCTGAGTGGTTTGTTGTTGAGGCCAGGTGGCCTTTTTCCCTTACACCCACTCCAAGCATGGAAGAAATGTGACACACGGTTTCAGGGGGCTTTTTTCTAGGGGCCTGGAAAAGTATGTCCATCCATTTTTGGCCCAAAAGGCTCCAAAAAAGACCTTTTTCCAACCAAGCGTTTTGGATGACTTGAAGTTGCCGGCAGCCCAGTTCCACTGGTTGACTCTCGGTCTGAAGTTGCCTGGTGATCGGTGACTAGCAAGAATTGCGAGTTACAGGCAAACTGTTGTTTGTTTCTATTGGGGCCTGTCGCTGGGACAAATTTTGTGTTTGTCGTTTTTGGAGGGAAGGGAAGCCGAAAGCAACCCGGGTTGCCCTGCTTCCCTTTGCGGATCATGGAAAATCGGGGTGGCCAACCTACCAGGGATCTACTGCCCGAAATTTTCCTTTTTTACTAGTGGTGGCCCAACAAGTGTACAACTTTTTTTTGGCCGGTCACTGGCCAAGTGAGTCAGAGCACCAGAGGCACTGAAGCACCAAGGTCTACCAGTGGCTGGAGTCCGGCAGCGCCACCTCCAAGGTAGCCGCAAGCGTGGCCAAAGCCGCCCGCAAGGCGCTTGCGCCAGAGAGAGTGTCCACGAGCCGCGCGAGGCATCAACCGCGCGACTTTTTTGGCAACACGTTTTTCTTCTTCTTGTTTTGTTTTGTTTTTGTCGTTGTTCTTTTTTCGTGTGTAAGTGAGACTGATGCACCGAAAGATCCCTGCTTAAAATTCACACCAAACACTTTTTTAGCTGTTTGCTTGTATTGAAATGGCGAATTATGATATGGGTGCCTTTTTTGGAGGGTTTCCCTCTCTTTCTGGTTTTGAAGGAAAACCAAAAACGAAACCGCAATAACCCAGCAGAAAGCCCCCCTACAAAGCATCCCTTTTAGCTTCCGAGGCATCCGAGTTGGAATTTTTAGCGGGTTCCAAAGCCCACAGACAAAAATGGAGTTCGAGGGTGCCGCTGAACAATGGGGGGTTGGGGAAATGAGGTTGCCGCCCTCAAAAAAAGTCAAAGCGCCCTTTAACAGGCAGCGGGAGGGGGGAGAGTGCCCTTTGAAGAGTTGGTTTGCAACCCCCATTTTGGAAAGAAGGGCGGGCATCCACTTTTGTCCCTCAGAAGCTCGGAAACCCTGATGGAAGGTGTTTGAGCAACGCATGAGGTTGAAACATTTTTCAGGAGTCGGATCCAATGATTGCATCGGGGGCGCGAGGGGGCGGGACCGGCTCAGCAGGCGGGACCGGCTCATGAGGCGGGACCCTTGAGAGGTCAGGTCGGTGGCAAACTAACGGTTCATTCTTACCTTGGGTCACGAAAGGGTTCCCTTGGTGGCTCCCACTTTTTAGCCTTTTAGTGTTTAGTGGTAGCTTCCATTTAACCCACTGAAAGCTAAACTGTTAGTGGGGTATCTGAAAACGGGCAGCCCAGCTTTCTAGTGGTTTTCCACCAGGGGGGCTCCCGGAAGACAAGCTTCCTCCGAAAAGGGGAACCTTTCTGGTGGATTCCATGCTGGGAGGATATCTTCCATGCTCATGGCAGCTTTTGTTTTCTGCGCGTAGTTGTTCCTCATGACAGACAGGCTATCCTCGAGGTCCGGTTGCCTAGAAACCAGCTGCTGCCCGCTTAACATAAGTGGCGAAATACCTAATGGGGATTTTGGGTCCCATAAGACTAAATGTCATGACCATGGGGGGATAATGTAAGTTGGCTCTACTGCTATTGGCTTAAACCTTTAGACTTAAACTTTTTGGATCCCCCTCATGTTTCCTTTTCACCCGCAGAAAGTCAAACTTTTTGCTGGGGGGGTTTTACTGGCACCCGAGCGCGCCTGCCAGCCTTCAGGCCCTGGCGGTGGGAAAGGTCTGTGAGGCGCGAGAGAGCATTTCGGGCGAGATGGGCGTGTCTTAAACCAGGGCAGCTCCAAACCGGGGGGTTGCTTGTTTAAAGCCGGCAAAAAGGGCAGAGGTGCCTCCAAACCGTTTTTGTGCTGCTTTTTCTGTTTAAAACCGCCCAAAAAGGGTACCAGCAGAAAAAGAAGGGAACGCCCCCCCCCAAAAAATAAAAATAATAATAGTTTGCCTTGCGGAGCGATGGATCGGTTGCCATAGGTTGCAGGCAACCAGCCTCTTTGCCTAGGCCACCCTAGGGCGTCACAGGGCGTCACTGGCTTCGATTCGCGGCTGGGATCGACTTGGGGATTTCATTCGTTTCGTTTTTCTGGTTGGCAGATGGCAACTTGCCAGTTCGGCTACCACTCTCACCTCTTGCCTATCAGCAATGTTATCTCTTTGGCCCAAGTCTGGCCCAGATCTCAATAGCCCACTTGTCATTTCGAATGCCCGTCGACGTCGGCCTAGGGTTGTTCCGAGAGCAACGGCCCAAGCTGCAAGTGTAGAAAGTTGCTTCGATGCCTTTCCCTTGTCCGAAGGTTTCATTGCGGGGGCGAACATGACCATGAAGAAAGGCTCCTTAAGAAGTGGCTCCGCTCTTCCAACTTGGTTTATTGTTCACTCACTGCCTCAGTGTCCGAACCTCACTCTTTTTGGGAAGGCAATCTAGTGGTGAGCAAACGTAATTGGACCGGATCAACTTTGTTTTCTGGACTGGCCGCGATGCCCCCTCGCTAGCTCCCGAGTGCTGGGTTTTCCTCTCGCAGTGCACCGAGCATGGACGCCCTCTCGCGCATTGTCGCGGAGACGCACCCAGTGCAACTCTCCGTGCTGGCGGCCGCGGCGTGCGGGAATCTGATGGTCCTGGTGCTCCTGAATCGCAGCAAGGGGCAAGAAGACCAAAAAGCGCGTGAGGCCGCGTCCGCAGGCATCCCTTGGAGCTCCAAACGCCTGGCGTACTGGGGCCTCATCGCCGCCTTGGTGGGCTTGTCGTGGTGGCTCGACGTCTGGTTCGAGCTCCACTGGCTGCTGGTGCCCGTCAAGGCTTACGTCATGGCGTTTCCGCTGGGGCTGCTAGACCTGCACTTTTCCGCCACCGCCGGGGTGCCGCTCAAGGTCATCGCGGGCGCCGGCCTGTGGTGCAGCGCCACCTTCCTGCGCTGGCTCCTGATCAACGCCTACTTCGGGTTCAGCGACCCCGTCACGGCAGTGCAGGTGCGGGAAGCGAGCATCGCGGTGGTGCTGCGGGAGGCGGTGCGCTTCATCGTCAGCCTCCCCTTCCTGGGCATCTTGGCGGATCTCATCTTCTCGCCGATGCACCGGCTGTCGCACCACCCCCGTGTGTACAGCAGCCACCACAAGGAGCACCACGAGTACACAAACAAGCTCACGGCGCTGGTCCTATACCACGGCTCCCTCCTGGACGACTTCCTGATGCCGCTCACCACTAGCTTCGGGGGCGCCATCTGGGCCATCCTCCTTGGATGCGTCGGCCTGGAGCGCCAGGCCTACTCCAACCTGATGGAATACCTCATAATCTTCAATACCCTGCTGTCGCACGCCCACGATACGCGCTGCGCGCGCCTGATGGCGCCTTTGCCGGACCAGCTGAATTTCGTGGCCTATCACTACGTGCACCACTTGTCGCCCGTCCACAACTTCGGCCTGACGGAACCCTCTGATCGTGTCTGGGACTGGCTGCTCGGCGTCAACACCGTACGGAAGCTGCAGGACTTTGAAGCGCTCAAGCAGGGGTGACCGAATGCGCTGTTTTCAAAGACAGCAGAGAAGGACTACTTTTTTTTCGGGTAAGTGATGTTCATCCATTCCTTTTTCCATGTCTCACCTTGGCATCACTTGCGCGAATCATGGCAAGGTACTGTCTTGCTGAGGGAAAAGGCGTGCGCGAGTTGACATGGTGCAGCTCTTCTAAGCTCTTCTCAGCACGGTAGCTGCAAACCATCGGCGATGGTACCAAAACACAAAGCAACGCGCACGCTTCTAAGCTTCCCTTGCAGGTGAACATACTAGCTCTGAAGACATGCTAAGCGTACAACTCTCGCAGAACTGTTAATTGCAATCTCTCTCCCTCTCTCCCTCTCTCCCTCTCCAACTAGGCACATGCTAAACCACCCCCAAGGAGAGTACCCCCCAAAAACAATCACCCACTCGGGGCTGCGGGACCAGGATGGCGCAGAGAGAGAACCGCCAGGGCCAGTCTTGACTGCTTTCCCATGAGGGTTTCCTGGTACCTTCTAAGGAGGTACTTGGACCCCTTCTTATAACTTTTTGGACCATCAAGCATTTTTCGCATGGAACCCGCAGAAAGTGTTGCTCGCGTTTTGCGGAGGGGTCAACAGCAACCGAGCGCATTTCCTGGGCCAGGATGGCAGGGAGCCCAACATCAGCCGCTGCTCCATCACCACCATGCGCCTCGGGCGTTTGGGGGAGAGGCATCCAGGAAGTCGAGGAAATGCCAACCAAAGAAGGGGCGTGGACCTTTTCTCACCTTTTGGTTTTGCCGCTTTGGTCCATTCTTAGTGGCCCGCAAAGGTTCTGGGTGCCTAGAGGGGCAAATGAGAAATAGAAAGAACCTCAGAACCGGAGTTCATGTCATGGACCAGCCCAATCTTCCCCCCGCTTCGGGGTTTTGGTGGCCCTCGCAGCAGGGAACCACGGTTTTGGGGGGGGGGGGGTCGCTGGATTTCCCCGAATGAAAGGTTGGCTCAATTCACTGGTGGCTTCCCTTGAAACCATCGCCACTGGTTCCAAGAAGGGAAAGGAGGGGAATGTTCCCCCCCCCCCCCCCGGTTTTGTGTTGTTTTTGAGTTCGTTGCGCTTTTTCAGGGGGGATGGCTCGACCCCCCCTCCGTTGTAGTGCTTGAAAGTTCCAGGGACTTGTGCCGCGGAGCCTGCGGCCACCACGAAGACTTGAGCAAGCTCACTTGGAGGCAGTGGGGATGGTGGGGGCATGGGACCATAGGTGTTCTTTTTAGGTTAGCTTGGGGGAAGAAAAAGAGAAGGCACTGGAGGCCGGGGGGGGGGCATGGTGGGATTTGGTGGGATGGGGGGGGGAACCAAAGTACCCTGCACCAGGCCTTTTTCTTTTAATTTGGGCCTTCTTTGCAGGAGTGCTTCAGTATGAAGAGACGGGCCTCCAATCCTGAGCACGTGGAATCCCCACGGGAGATGAGACAGTTTCCAAGCTTTGCAACTCCACCGGAATTTCCCTACCCAGGCCAACCCCCTATAAGCTGATGGTTCAAGAGTCTCATGGGAATCCTTCGCTTTGGTGGGTGACACTCAGCGGCTTGGCTAGGGACCCAAAAGAAGGGAAAACAATATGTCCTTATCGCTTCCCTCCAAGCCTCTAAACTGTTCAATCCAACCTGAGAAGCGGTTCGTTAAAGCTCCAAACATGACAAACCCGCTTAGTACTCCGCTCCCATTCGATTTGCCAACTCCCATTTCAGACAAGCGAAAGCCTCTCCGTGTGCCGCAGGCCGCCTGCTTCCCCCCGCACGCAGATGCCCGGGACCCGACATTTGGAAAGGGCCCTTGTTTATTATAGACGTCCAGCTGGCTAGCTGGTTGAATGAAGATTATAGGCCTGCATTTTGAAAAAAAAACACAAGAAACAACACAATGTAGAAGGAAAAGTCAATGGGTGTCAAGCGCTGCTCATTTCCACATCTTTTAACCATGGAACAATGATCGTGTGCCCATGAGTGACCACCCAGTCACAACGGATGTTTAACTAGCGCCAGCGCTGTCAACTCTGACCAAGTGTGCTCGAACCCCCACACCCCCCCCCCCCCCCCCAAATATTGCCAGAAGCCATGGTTGCTCAGTTCCCTACTTGCGGCATTGGCAGGCTCCAACTCACCTTCCCCCTGGTTATGTTTCAGACCCTCGATGTCGAAGCCCTTCTTGCAGGGGGTAGATGGGACACCACCCCCCCGAACGCCTCCAAAGCACCAGGCTCCAAATCACCAAGGTTTCAGCCACCTGGGTTTGACGCCTTTGGCTTCAGCAACGCTCTTTCGGCGTGTCTAAAAATGGGAGAGTGGCTTCTTGTTTGGATTCCTTTTCACACCCCAGAAAGGGTACCATGAAAAAAGGACGGACCCATCTTAACGAGTTCGGTTTTCACGTTTGAACAGCCAAGGAGGCTGCTGGCGGGAAAACGCCCAGTTTTGATACGTCCCACACATGTTCAGCCCCAGCAGCACCAACCTTAAAGCAAGACCGCTAGACAACCCCTAAACCGCCCCTAAATCACCCAAAGCCCACCCGAAACCAACCCAGGGATTTTGCAAGCAGCCTTTGCTCTCCCTTTGAGCCACGCCGAACACTGATTCCTATTAGCTTTTTTGAGGAGGTGGTTCTACTGCCCTGAGGTGAGGTGCCCCCCAAATAAGGTTTTGTGTCCATGTCTCCAAATAAATTTTACACGTAGGCCGAATCATAAGCAGAACTAGAAGTCTCATTTTCGGCGCACCCCCTCAAACAAAACCTGCAGAGAGAAAAAGAGAGAGCTCTCCATAGGTGCCCTTTTTGGTTGTTTTGCTCGAAGATAGATGACGATTCCTGGTTTACCTGGTGGCTTTTTCTCGTTTACCAGGGAAACCCATCTACTTCCCCTAAAAGGACACCTATGGAGACCTCTGTGTAGGCCGGCCGTTGGCAGAAGCCGCGCGTCTCGGCGAGAGCGAGGTGCCGCGACGGCGCCCTGCTGGAGCCGCTCTGGTCCTGCGACCGCGACTTCTCGCGGGCGCGGGATGTGGGCGGGGGGTTGGAGGTTGGAGGTGGGGGGTCCAAGTGGCGTCTAGTGTTGACCCCGGATTGATATTGGGGGTGTTCCCCTCAAGCGAAAACATCCCCACTAAAATCATGCATTCATCTGGGTCAGCATAAGTTCCTGGTTGCGAGGCACTGCCGCTGGGAGGGAACTCAGAGGAACCATTTGAAGCCAACCTCCTTTTGCAAGAGTTTGTGCAGGCTTAGAGGAACCATGGTTTCCACACGTTGGCCCGGGATTGAAGCAGAATCTGTCGGATGAATTGGGGGGAGTTTCCCTGTTGGCCAAACGCAGCGCATTTGGGAGGGGCCCTTCCGGGACGCATTTGGACGCACGTGCGCAAGGGTTCCACACTTACTTGCAGAAGCAGGGTACTCAGCAAGTGGGTGGCACCCCTGCATCACCTTGGAGCAGGGTTACTATGTCCCGGTCACTTGCCGTGAGGCCAGCAACCAGTGGCTGGCAGCCCTGCAAATGACCCCGGCAGGCTACATTCCGATGGCACAAGGCCACGACCAACCAATCCCCGACAAGCCACCGACTCCCATTCCACCCAAGCCACAACCAATCCCGAAAATGGTGCGAAGAACAGAAGCCCGCAAACTCGGCCTTTGAAGCCCGCAACCTGGGTTAAAACTGCCACCTTTTGAATCGAGGGTGCCCCCAGGCGATAAAAGCTAGGCACGTAGGCACGCATTCATATCTATATGATATATTTAGTTAAGCATATGAGTAGATATTTATGTATATAATATATTTTTGTATATAAGCCATATATACATATACACAACTTAAGTATGTATATACATATATATGTGCACTTGGGTTGCCAAGAAACGTGTCCTTGCAAGCAGTTTTGTATACTGAGTTCTTCACAGACTTGCCATAGTCAGAGAATGTGCACACACACACATATATATATATAGGTATCTGGGTGAGAGATCGATTTTTTCCCCAGGCCTGCACCTGAGGTCCTGGCCGCGCGGTCGCGCCAGGTGCCTCCAGCAGGGCACCCGCATGAGGACGCCCAAAAAGTCCTGGAGCAAAGCATCCAGGCGCCTTTGGGAGCCTCCATCTTGACTGCTACTGGGCAACGGATCTTTAGACTTTAACTTTTTGGTTGAAATCAGGTTGGGTTTTCCACTAAACCCCCCAAAAGTTAAACTTTTTTGCAGGGGGTCAACAGCAACCAGGCCGTTGTCCCGTTTTGGTTGGCTTCTAAAGACCTAGCTGGTGCGAGAGATGCGGGGAATGAGACATGACCCCGGCAAGAATCATCCGGTTCCTATGGTTTTTTAAGTGAATCCCCACACCAAGAAAAGGTGGAGGGACTCCTCGAGACCCTTACGGTAAGACTTACGGGAGGCCGCTAGTTTATGGAGAGCAAATATCAGGAGAGTTGGACATATTTTCTGAAGAAGCAACCTGGCAGTCCGGGATAGTCCGGGCCTGAATCTGATGTGCTGGAAGGGCTTGAAAGAATTTGAGGACACATTTGAAAATTGAAAAAAGATTCAGATTGGGTCGCAAGTTGTGCGAGAAAATGGTTATGCCGAACGTGCCGAGCCAATTAGGCCGCATCAGAGTTTAGAATTGTTCAGCATTGGATTCTGGAACCCGGCGGCCTTGTTTCATTGAGAATGCAGAGACTGCAGTGAAACTACCCCGCCAGTAGGCAGGCCCTGCGCTTCGGTTTGTCTCGCAAAGGTGGTTTTGGTGTGTTCCCCAAAGATCTAGACCCCAATCCCTGAACCCCTTCTAAGCTTGGATTCCTTTTTGGAGCCACTAGGATGGTCAGCGCCCGGAAAGAAGTGCTGCCCAACAATTGGGAAGATCACACCCGCTTGGAGCATCCCACTTTTATCCTAGTTTCGTTCAAGGTGTGAGGCTTCATCGCCCGCAGGGGTCCTTGGGTCCTTGGCACCTGGAGAAGCATGACCTTGAAGTCCAACTTGTTTGATGGAGATTCCGTTTGGTGATGTTGAAAAGGGAACCTGCCTGGGCTGTAGGCTGGGAAGCAGGTACTGCACGTGACTACTGGAAAGTACTTCCAGTGGACTTAAGCAAATGGGTTATGACACGCTTAGGGGACTTGCTGCTGTTGCTGCCCCATGGCAATCAGGTCATGTGCGACGAGCAGCACCTAAGACATCTCTGGCCTTGGCCCCGGCTGGTATGAGGCTTCCTCAAGAGGCCAAACGGGATGGGTGATTGTCATTTTGTGTAGAACATCCATCATTGTCAGCAGCTCGCGTTTCGACATTTTCGATTAAGCTCCAGAACGAGCGCAACTCATATTGTTAGTCGCTGAGTATAGTACTGTTGACTTATATTCTGTTCTAAAAAATCATAATTATCACTAATCACATAGTTACCGATCATTTAACCGTAGCACGGGATGACGTGAAGTTTTCAAGGTGTCCGACAATCAGAGAGATCCGGGTTTTCTTCGGAAGCCTTCCACTCGTACCTGGTGGAGGGAGTTTTCCAGGTTTCCCCTCCGGGAAAGCATGGGCGCGCGTTTCCACGTTCATTTTCTTTTGTAGGCCCGATTCCTTGCCGAAGGACGCTCCGTTTCGATCACTCATTGATGCATCGGCATGGACGCGATGGCCTTGGAACTAAGTGCCCAATCGGTCAGAATGCCTTGAATGAACCCACCCCCCCCCCCCAAATTATCATGGAACCCAATCGGGGGGTTCCCGAAATCGAGTTTCCTCTACAAATGGCGGCTTGGCTTTCATGTCAATCTGTGGAGTAAGGCTACTGGTGGGGATGGCTTCAATTTTTTCCATAGCCGTGTTTGTCTCAAAGCCAGGCTTCAGACCATTTCCTGGAACGATGCAGATTCCTTGTTTCAGAATTGGTGGTTACCCCAGGGAATGCATTAAGGTTGGTTAAAGGGGAAATCACTTGGAAACCAGCTGGGAAACCGGACTTTATATTTTTTGGGACGACCATTTTAGTGGCAAACAAACAGCTAGGACTTTTTTGGCCAATCCACTTGATCGGAAGTGAGACTTCCTGTCGAATTGTCTGTAGGTTTCTTTTGGGGTCATTGCTTTGACTGCTTCTGGGGGGTATCCAAAGTCAGAAACTGGGGGTGATTCCCTTTAACCTATCAGTTCGGGGGTGGCTTTGATAGTGGTAAAACAATGGGGCTAGTTCTTAGATGAAGAGAGTGTCTTCGAGGGCCACTTACTTGGACTGCGACTTCCTGGACAACTACCTTCGCCTCGCCGCCTCGGAGTGGCTGGAAGAGGCCTACGTGCCTGGAGACCCGAATTTCGGGGCTGGAATTTCTTGAGCCCCGTGTGGGGCATATCACCGCTTTTTTCTTCTTTTTTGTTTTGAGGGGGGGGGGAGGGGCATCCCTTTTGGGGCTGTTTTTCAGGGAACCCAGCAAAATAGACAAGCGTTACTGACCCTCCTCCAACCCTAACCCCCTCCCCGCCCCTAGGGACACTTGGTTATTTTGCATCCAGTCCAGGACACCCCTAAAAATCTAAAAAAATACCGGAAAAGGAGGAGGCAAGGCTGGATCCATGTCCCGTTTTTTAGGGCTCTTTAACGGATCTTTCAACATTGGGCCCGCGAGTCCAAATTTTTGAGGGGCCAGCAGCAACCGAATTTTGTTCCAAGGGAAATTGCCCCTTGGAAGGGGGCGTGGGGGCACAAGCCGGTGCACGGGGCGAACAAACGTGCAAGGGCCCTTTGCAAAATGACTGCGCCCGAACTATCAAGGGGGTTCACCTAATTTCACCTTTCCCCTACCTGGAACCCCCCCCCGCCAATGCTGTGGGACTTTTCCCAAATCCCAATGTAGCCACTCATCCTTTTTGTTTGCTCAGTTCACGTTTCCACTGAACCCCCCCCCACCCAAAAGCAGCAGTTTCTTCTTGCCGAAAGGGTCACCGGCTGGAGCTGGTTCTTGTGGGTTGCTGGGGTCACCGCCTCGGAGCCTCCAAACCATACATCACTTTGAAACCATGGTTCCATTCTCGGTTGGTATTTACAGGGAATCGAATCAAATTCTAGGGTTTCTGACGGTGGTGCGCGAAATGAGGATTTCCTCCACCAGTCATGGGCGTCAACCAAACCTGTGGGCTCCGAACCGCATGCTGAGGACCTACGTCGCAGGGCCCCAGGACTCCGTTTATGCCCTCCAGGCTCGCCGGACAGCTTCTTTATTTTCTTCGGCCGGGCTTGGTTTTGCCCGGATTTGCGGGGTTCCATCGATTTATGTCTTGTGGGCCAAAGCCGGTTTCCTTTGGGGGTGATGTGCAAGGGGAAACATGGGAGCTGCAACAGCGAGAGTCTGGGAGAATCTTGGCGAATGGTGTCAGCTTCCTACAAACTCATCTAAAATACACCTGAGAGTGTAGCATTTGTGCGATCCTTCCAAGATGGAGCATCCATTGACAATTCCTGATGTCCTGTCAAGTTTTCGCAGCTCGGATCAGTCAAGTTTGCTTGGTTTCTTTAGGGGTGATTCTCCATTCGTTTCAACCATTCTTTCAAACACCAGCTTTTGTGTTCCTGATTCTTCTGGTTTTCTGGAAAGTGGAAAGATACGAATCACTGGAAAGCTACTGGAGCGGGGGGAGTGCTGCCAGCGATATTTCCTCCTACGAACCTCCTGCATGAAGTTCCTGGGCTCAGGGTTGGCCGTGCCCCTCCATTCTGTGCCTGTGAGAGATCAGTCTTTGTTCCCTGAGATTCCAACCGCAGCCCCCTTCAAAGATGTTAGAGTCATGGAAAAAAACCCACATCGAGGTGGCACGGCATAGGCTTCCACCGGAATTTTCGCTGGACTCCTCGTAGGGCGGAGGTTTCTTTGCAGCCTTTCGAGGCGGTGAATCTGATCCGGTCCATCGACCTGTTCTCCACCCGGCCGGTGGTGGTGGTTGCCTTGGCCTCGGGTTCTCGGCGCAGTGGTCCAAAGCGAAGCGAACGCATCTGACCTTTTCGTTTTCCCAATTTCCGCTTGTGGTCGTTGTTCGGACAGGTTTTTGATTTTTTTCTCCTGGGTCCTTTGGGCAACTGAGACTGTGAACGCAACTGCGCTGATGTGATGCTTGGCGGGCTGCGAGCTTTGACCTGGCTTCGAGATTTGCATCAACTACTTTAGCATCCACCAGTGATAAGGACCAGAAGACAAGGGGCTGAAGCTCCGTAGGCCTGCTCGTGCGAAGCTTGCCGCGTCAGCGGTGGGGGGGGCTTTCTTGCGAAGGGGCGGGGGGAGCAGCACATTTTGCCCCACCAGGATCCTTCTGCCCAACTCACCGGATTTTTGTTGATCTCGATGTTTGACTTCTGGCCGGTCGGACTTCCGCTCGAGGTCTTCGACGACAAGTTCTTGACGCCTGGCCAGTGGCGAAGCTTCCCCAACGCCGGATGCTCGGAGTGCCCGACGGGCGTGGCTCTGTCAAGCCCGCGAAAGGGAGTTGACTGGCGGTAGTCCAGATCAAGTGGGATCAAGGGGTTTCTCCCCACTGTGATGCAAGGGAATCCCCCTTTCTATGAACAAATTTCGTCTCTGGGAAGCCCTTTCTGTTGTATCACAGAAGTGGTCATTCCCCACAGCCCTGCGGTAGTCCATTTGCGGAGAGGCCACTGGGGCAATTGGTTTGGCCGTTTCAGGGGAGCTCAGGGCGTTCGGCGTTGGGCATCCAAGTTCATCCAAGGCTTGCTTGCCTTTGGAGCGCATGAGGCAAGCAGAGCTCCATGCTGAAGTCCTTAACTTCACGTTGTTTCGGTTTTAGTTCTTGGGTCCTTTGCATGTTTAGTGGGGAGGCGGTTGAGGTTTTTGTCCACATAACAGGGGTCGGGCAGTTAGATCCAAGGTGTATTTTAGCATTTCCGGGTTAAGTAAAAGGGGGATGTCCCATTTAGGGGGCATCCTTCACTTTTGGGGCCAGCCCCTATGTGTTTGGCGGCAGGTTGATGAATCCAGGGTCAACATTAGAATCCTCCCGTGAGAAGTCCCAGGTCATTGTCTACAAGATGCCGCCTATCAAAGGCCCTGCACGGAGCGTCGGGCAGGGATCTCTTCCAGCATTTGAAGGGGCAATGTACTTCCATATCCTGGGGTGAGTTGCCCATGGTCTACCGAATCGATTGTGCCTGGTGACTCTTGGTCACCGCTGGTGGCGTCCCCCTGAGATTGGAAGAGGGAGAGAGGGAGTGAGAGAGATTTCTCCAGCAGAAAGCTTTGGATTTGGGGCTCTGCTCAGATAAGGTTCAAAGAGTTCGGAGCGGCAACAGGTATGGCACCTGGGCTTTTTTGCTTTTTTTTTTTTTAGGGGGCTGCAAAGAACAGCCAGAGATACTCTTTACCTGGGGTGAAACGAGCTCGCCATGAATGTCTTCTATATGTGGATTCCTTAACGTATTGGGGTTTGAGAGTCTAGACTACTTTAGGTTCTCCAACTGTGGATTCCACCAAGAGTTGCGCCCTTATAGCACTCTTTAAGGCCTGTTGGATAGGGAGATTCCGCTGAGATGCCCTTTGCAACTGGGAACTCCGAATGAGTCCATCCCACAAGCAAGGTGTCACCCGCAGAAGTGATGCGATTCCTCGTACATGGTTGGTGTCCCCCCCAAAGACCTGCCCAATTTTTCTGGGGGTTCCGCATAGGATCGCACCCCCGTGTTCCAGGGAACCCGGAGAAAAACGACTGGCAGATGGATCGATCGCATACATCCTCCCAGAGGGTCCAAGTACCTCCTGAGGGTGGCTTTTGGGGGGGTAAACTTAGAAGGTACTTGGACTTCCTGGGTTCTGTTTGGAGGGTAGCCTTTTTTTTGGTGGAAGCCAAGCCACTTGGAAGGTACCCTCGAGCCTCTGGGCTCTTCGATCTCAGGGCGGGCGGTGTCCTTCAACTTCAACAAGCTCAGGGCCATGGTGGCCGCCAGGGTTCTGGTGGGTATCCAGCTGGACAGGGGGGTGGGGGGTGAGGGGGTTGTGGGGACAGGGATTGGGCCATCGGAAAACATGGGGATTCGTGACCTCCAACGGCCACCAAGGCACTTTTTGTTCACACATGACTTTCCAGGACACCTACAAAAGCTGATCGACCTTGTGGCTGACCAGGGAGTAGTTGTTTGGGGTGTTTGGGGGTGGCTTATTCCCATTAGTCAGTCATGACGGCCCTGTGGTATCACAATGGGCTGTGGTTGATACTTTGGAAGTCAAGAAATAACGACCCCTTAGCCCCCAAAGGCATGGTAACTTGCCTAGTTGTGTGGTCACTGATGTGAGGTTTGCTTGAGGCCACTTTGGTTTAGGTTGAGGGTTGCATGTCATGACAGACTTGTCGAACGGCGAACGCCGTTTGGCTCAAGCGCACATCAAGAAAACAGCGCTGAGTGCGGAACGAGAGTCTAGGAATCACCCCCTGAACCGCTGAGGGATTAACCACGGTCAATCCACCTCTTTTTGTTCAGGGCGCAGCCTTCGGCGCGCGTTTGGGGTTTCTTGCTCTTTTGATTGGTTATCAGCCGTATAGCCTTTCTTTCGGGATTAACTAGGCCCTCCCTCAGCGGTTCCCCCATAAGGGGGCGCGCATGGCCGTTGAGGAAGAGTACCACAAGCGTGGAACTCGCGGAGGAGCCGCAAACAAGAAGCGTGTGTGGTGGGAGCTCCAGGAGGACGTGATCGACGAGGTCGAGCAGCGTTTTGGGTTTACACCACCCAAGCTGCAGTGGGGACCGGGGTCAGAGGTGCAGCTTGCTGCCCTTCGGGCCTGGAACCGGGACGTCACCGAGCAGCGCTGGGAGGAGCTTCACAGGTGGCATCAGCCTACGGCCCTTCGCATCCGGGCAATCCGCGAAGAAGAACGAAGGGCCGCAGCCACTGGCGCGGCAGGTGCAGATACAGTGCCTGCCACTCCCTCGTCTCCGACCCCATCCACACCGCCTCAGCAGCAGCAGGCGGCGCATCCTTCCGTGGCCCAGCAGGCTTCACCTGCTGAGGCTTGGTTGTCTGCTCCGGCCTTGCCTACAGCGAGGACCGCAGCCCACGGCGCGGTGGCTGGTACAGCTCCGAGGAGAAGGACATCTACGACCTCCACACGGTCAGTGTCAAGGCAAGTTCTGCGAGCAGTTTACTCCCAAGTACCTATTGTGCTTAGGTCTCGCTCTCGGTCAAGAACTCCGACACCGATCCAGGAGGCCGCAGCCCTCGGCGCGGCAGGCGAGTCGAGCAGTCGGGAGCCTTCGGGAACCCGCAGAACTCCTCGCCCGACGACCAGTCGATCCTCGCGTGGCAGATCAAGGAGTGTGCCATCAAGGACCTCGCCAACCGACAGGCCGATCGTGCTGGCGCCAAGGAGCTCGGCCTATCCGACGGTTCGCATCGATCGGACCGGCACGTGGACATTGCAGAGGGAGCAGCCCTCCGGCGCTCCACGGGCATTTTCAGGCCGAGCCCGATCACGCTTGCCGCAGTTCAGTGATCCTCACGAGCTGCCAACGGACGTGTGGCTCCGCCCCGAGGCCTACGGGGAAAGGTCCAGTTCCTCGACCCCAAACTACGGGAACGCGGAGGTTTACCATCTGGCAGACTACTCCGACGGGGATACAGTGCACAACACCGAAGATTTGCTTTCAGGCAGAGCAGCATTCCGGGCAAGGCTTCTGTCCCTGCAAGCAGCCGGCCTGGCCCACACATCAGGTACAAGCAGCCGCCGGCATCGTTGAGGTTGCCACCAAAAGGGCAGGGAGCAGCCTTTGGCGCTCCAGACCCACCTTGGCGACAACCGCCGAAGCGAGAGCCACCTCAGCCTCCTCCACCAAGGCGAGAAAGTCACGGGATCCCAGATCCCCCACCTCGGACACCCCTCGCGGACCGGAAGACGCTCAACATCGTTCTGGACTGGCACGGGGTGCTCGACGTGAACATCCGCTCTGGGGGAAGGCTTCACCCACAGATCGTGGACGGATTGATTCGTCTACAGACAGCTCACGGTCCATTCAATTGGATTATTTGCAGCTATTGTGGGGTCGAGCGCGAGCGAACTACGGCACCGGAGATCGCCACAGCAAGGGTACACTTGGCTTACAAGGGCATCTACGTTGGTACAACGCAGTTCACGCGCTCCAGGGTTGGCGTTGCTGGCAAAGCAAACCTTTTGCACGGTTGGGCAGCACATATCCTTGTGGACGACAACGCCACAATCTGTCGTGAGGCGCGACTCACAGGCGCGCACGCTTTCAGGGCGTACCCCAGCCAGGGGGTGCAGGGGACTTTGGACGCATTGATTGCCATTGAGCAGTGGTTGGATCAAACCGACCGAGCGGCCATTCAGCCTGCCCGTGCACTCACTACCGCAGAGCTCCTTGAGGAGGTTCGCAGGTAGTAGATCACCTGGTTCTCACGACAGGGGTGCAGCCGTTGGCGCACCGAGGATATTTTCTCATCCTGTGCAGGGAGCAGCCGTTGGCGCTCCGAAGAGCTGTGGCGCAAAGACGCACGAAGTCACACACATTTCCAATCGCACACAACTGCATTGGTGAGCCTTCACATTTGCATCCAAATTGCAAACAAAAGGTTTAGGTTCAAAGGAGATTCCCCATTGTCAATTAGTGAGGTATATCAATCCTTGTGTGACTGAGTGCGTTGCTGCATCATTCAATAATCTACGTTGGGTGTAGCCGTAAGTGCACATCTCATAATCCCACCAGGCACAAATCACCGGCCTTGGAGAGTGCTGCCTTTGGCGCACTGACTTGGTTCGCGTGTGCAGGAAAAGCTATCGCATCCGTGCGGCTCAGGCATGAATTCCTCTGGTATTACGCCCCCATCCGAAGATAGGTCTAGATCCTCACATGGCACAGACTATGATGACCCAGACCTTGCGGGTGCAATGGTGCCAGCCATGTCTGTTGTTAGGCATAACCCTAATAGCCCTGCACCAGGTTCCGATGCAACCCCTGTTAGGCGTATGTTCGTTTCAGAACCATCCTCATCAGAGCCGGCTGGAACGCCCGATCCAACCCAGAACCTCCCAGCTGCTGCATTTGTTGCGGGTGCCGCCGTTCAACGTGCTCACCATGCTTCCGATGTCGCGCTTCAGGCCGCTGAACATGCACAGCAACAGCAACTGCTGGCTGAGCAGGCCCGAAGGGAGGCGGGGGAACTCCGGGAAGCCGCCCAACAACGGGAAGGGTTGTTTAGGCATCAGGCGATGAACCTTGTAACCCAGGCTCAACAGGCCGTGAGCTATGCACGCGAGCATGAGTTCAATGCGAGGCAGCAAGCCATTGGCGCTGCGGAACAGGAGGAGGCAACCAGGCAACAGGCCGAGGTGCTTAGGCTTCAGGCGCAAACTGTCGTTTCTGAGGCCCATCAAGAGGTAGGTCAGACTAGGGCTTTAGCTGAAAGGTACGCAGCAGAGGTTCGTAACAGAGCTAATGCTGAACAGGCCCAGGCCCAAGCTCAGACCCAATACCTTTATCAAGAAGCACAACGTGCCGTAGCCGAACGTGATGCCACCATTCTAGCTCTGCAAGAGAAGGATTTGCAACAAGCGTCTAGGTTAGCCGAACTTGAAAGGACGGTTTCCCTTTTGCTTGAAGTCCGTCAGCCTCCGACTCGCTCGCCGCAAAGTGCCCCGCAAGCACAAACCGATAATGGTACGGATTCTAATACCCCTCAACCCAAACGGTCGCATAACCGGAGCTCCCCCATTTTGGGCGGACAGGATGTGTCAAGGGGTAACCAAGCAGGGGCTTCATCCAGTGGATTACAAGACCAAGCAAACCAGCAGAGTGGACTTGATAGATCCTCGCAACAGGGTTTAGATAGTGCCGCACCTCAAGTGGGTCCTCATCATACAACTGGTGTTGACTCGGGCGCCCAGCCCGGTGCTTCCTCTGCCAACCTGCGTGTCACATTCCAGGATGTTGCAACCCCACGTGATGTTGCCGCAGGAAGTGTGGGACTCGCCAAGAGCCTTGCCCCTACCGGCCCACCACAGGACATCGCAGGAAGTGCGGGACTCGCAAAGGGTTCTGCCCCTACCGATTCAGAGCAAGGTGCCGAAGCAGCGATCGCCAAGGGAAGTGCCACGTCCGCAAAGGGCGCAGCCCCTACTGGCGCACTCGATGTAGGTGCAGGTGTCGCAAGCAACAGTGCTGTGTCCGCCAAAGGCGCAGCCGTTGGCGCGCAGAGCAGTAGTCAGGATGAGAAAAGTGAGATAGCAGATGTTAAGCAGCAGATTGCTTCCCTAGCCTCAATGGTGCATCAGCTTAGCACTTTGGTCGCTGCACAAAGCGTGGCTCCTCCTCCAATGGCTTCAGCTCCCTGCCCTGCCCCAACTGCCACAAGGGCAGCTGCTAAGGCATACCCGGTTCCCATAATCCCCCTAAGTTTTAGTGCGGGAATGGTCGACACCACCCCTAAGGCTGCATCAGACGCGAGCTCAGAATCCTCATCAAGTTCCGAGAACGAGGATGATGATGCCGATGAACCCCAACCCACTGGCCAGTGTAGGGTTTGCGGTGGTTCCCACGACGAATTGTCATGCCCCCGTCTCTCAATGAACGAAGCGGGTTTAGACACCAACAGTGGGGATGCAACTCAGGGGGGCGCTGCAAGTGCGGTAGGTGATGCTCACGGCACACTCCCAGATTCCGCCAGCGCACACCAGACCAAAAGTTTCGCATCCCAAGAGGAGGATGTCGTCCGCATCAAAGACTTGAAGGATTTGACATTTCCTGCCCCTCCCGAGGATGCGGGCCAAGCAAGAGGTTATGTAAACCAGGTTTTAATGGCCATAGGTAGACTTCAGAAGAGCACAGGTGATGAACTTTACTTGTGGGCGCAAGACTGCCTAACTAAGAGTGACGCACAGTTGAAAGCTGATCAGAGGTTCCCACGGACCGATCGCGAAGTCACTGCGAAGCTCCTAAAGACATGCCGCAAAGGTAAGTTTG